TTGCCAGTACTTCCACAGTATATGAAATTCTGAAGCTGTTCCCAGGTTAATCATTTAAGTGTATTTCCATTCCTAACAGGATCCTCCTTATTGCCAGATTTCAGTTATGTTGCTTGAGAAATACAATGTGTATTATTATCATTTTTATAGTGGAACTATCATTCTGATCATAAGGAAATTATGTGTTTTTACTTGGTCTAATGCTAGGGGTCCTGGACTGTTCATGGTCTATCATCACTTTCTGAGCTTGGCAGAAAGTTCTGACTTGTAAAGTCAGCGAACAGGCTAATACTCAATGTGCCAGTTTGACTTGAGTGCTGAAAAAAATTACTCTGTGCTTGCTTTGCCTTGTGTACATCATCTAGAATAGCATCTCCTGTTGGAACTTAGCAGGAGGTTTGTGTAAGTGAACACATCTGCTTTTAGTTGAATTTAGTTGTTTTCCCTGACTGTCATCTGTGTATGGTACAGACAAAAGGGAAAATAAATACTAGGAGAAAGGAAAAGTTAAAAGCAACTGATAAAGGTGTTGGGCATGCAGAAGGCTTGTAACAAATTGCTAGTTATATACGCAGCTGTGAAATACTGTATCATCCATCAAATTTCTATTCAACAAACTGTTCTGAAGTATTGTGCGCAATTTTGAATGTGGAAAAAATGCAAATAATGTGGAATCACCTTTTTCCCCACTGATATCGTCCTAGAATCATAGAATGTTAAGGGGTTGCAATGGACCTTAAAGATTATCTAGTCCCAAACCCCCTTGCCATGGGCAGGGACACCTCTCACTAGACCAGGTTCCTCAAGGCCTCATCCAGCCCGGCCTTGAACACTCCCAAGGTTGGGGCATCCTTGGGCAACTCTTCCAGTGTCTCACTACCCTCACAGTAAAAACTTTGTTCCTAATATTCAACCTTAACTTCCCCTCTTTCAGTTTGTACCATTACTCTTTGTCCTGTCACTACAGTTCCTGATAAAGAGTCCCTCTCTGGCTTCCCTGTGGGCCCCCGTCAGATACTGGAAGGTTGCTATGAAGTCTTCATGCAACCTTCTCTTCAAGCTGAACAGCTCCAACTTTCTCAGCCTGTCTTCGTAGGGGGGAAGCTCCAGTCCTCTTGTCAACTTTGTGGCCCTCCTCTGGACTTGCTCAAACAGTTTCGTGTCATTCTTATGTTGGGGGCACCAGAACTGTACTAAGTACTACACGTGGGGTCTCACATGAGCAGAGTAGAGGAGTAGAATCATCTCCTTTGACCTGCAGGCCATGTTCCTTTTGATGCAGTCCAGGATTCCATTTCTGGGCTGTGAGGGCACACCGCTGGCTCATGTTCATTTTTTCATCACTCGTCACCCCAAGTCCTTCTCTGCAGGGCTGCTCTCAATTCTCTGCCCAACCTGTAGATGTGCTTGGGGTTGCCACAACCCAGGTGTAGGACCTTGCACTTTGCTCTGCTGAGCTTCATGAGGTTTTGATCAGCCCACCTCTCAAGCCTATCAAGGTCCCTCTGGATGGCATCCCTTCCCTCCAGTGTGTCAACTGCACCACACATCTTGGTGTTGTCAGCAAATTTACTGAGGGAGCACCCGATCCCACTGTCGATGTCACTGACAAGGATGTTGAGCAGTACTGGCCCCAACAGTGACCCCTGTGGGACACCACTCGTCACTGGTTTCCACATGGACAATGAGCCATTGACCACAACTATTTGCATGCAGCCATCCAACCAGTTCTTTATCCACTGAGTGGTCCATCCATCAAATCTATGTCTCTCCAATTTGGAGATAAGGATGTTGTGCAGGACAATGTCAAACACTTCGCATAAGTCCAGGTAGATGATGTCAGTTGTTTTGCCCCTATCCACCAACGCTGTAGCCCTGTCATAACTCACCGGATTTATTCAGGCATAATTTCCCTTTTATAAAGCCATGTTGGCGGTTACCAGTCACCTCTTTGTTTTCCATGTGCCTTAGCAGAGTTTCCAGGAGAATCTACTCCATCATTTTGCCTGGTACAAAGGTGAGACTGACTGAGCTGTAGTTCTCCGGGTCTTCTGCTTTCCCCTTTTTAAAAATAGGGGTTAGATTTCCCTTTTTCCAGTCATCAGAGGCTTTACCTGACTGCCATGATTTTTCAAAAATGAAGGATAATGGCTAAGCAACTTCATCTGCCAGCTCCCTCAGGACTTACAGATGAACTTCAAGTCCTATGGACTTGTGCACGTTCAGGTTCCTTAGATGGTCTTGAACCTGATCCTTCCCTACAGTGGGCTTAGGGGCTTCATTCCTTCAGTCCCTGCATCTGCCTTTCCCGACTTGGGCAGTGTGGCTGGAGCACTTGCCATGAAGACTGAGGCATAGAAGTCATTGAGAGTCTCAGCCTTTTCCATATCCAGGGTAGCCAGGTCTCCTGTTTCCTTCTGGAGAGGGCCCACATTATCCCTAGTTTTTCTCTTGCTTGCAGCATATCTATAGAAGCCCCTCCTGTTATACTTTAATATCTTGCATGTGTATAATGAGAGGTTTTGCCTTGCTAGACACTGTGAGTTATCTGAGTGCAATCACACATTTAATCTCCAAAGTTATTGCCACATGGCTTTCAAACCACAGCACAACAGATAAATTCCATCATCCTGCTCCTTGTCTTTAACTTTTATGTGAAGATAACTTTCATAGTCCACTTTGTCTACTTTCTTCTCTTCATTTTTTCAGAGTCAAATTTTATCAAAGCCATTTGACAGAAAAATAGGAACAGTGTGGACTGTAGGATTGAGCTGTTCGGCTCTTCTGGTGTGTCCTGTTTTGTGTCTTTTTGTCTTGGGCTTTATTGCAGTACTGCCTCCAAGAAGGCCTATCACACAGGAATGCTGCTAGATCCGCTGTTGCTGTAATATCAGCCTGATGGCACATTAGGTGCTGGAGTGATGAGAAGAACATGACCAGTTGAACACTGTACCTTATTGTATGACCCTGTACCAAGATGGGACTATTCATATTCAAGATGGACTTTTTGTCTTTGCAATTGCAAAGTAGTAAAAGAAGAGAGGAAACTTTGTGAGAAAGTTGTGGCAATGGCAACTTAGATGCAGCCTAGAACAAAAAAGAACATGCCACTTCCATGATGAACTCAGCTGAACTTTCTGTGCTGGTCCTTTCAGATGGTCAGAGTTGTTTCTGCTTGCAGAGGGAATGGTGTAGGCATGCTGGCTTTTTCACCACCACCACCTCTAGACAGAGTGAAAATCTTCCCTTGCACCTTGATGAGCAAAATAGATGTTTAGGAAGGCATTTTTCAAGGCAAGGCAGGAATAAAAGTGCATGCTGGTTATGAAGCTTCTAGCAGGTCAGACTGAAAACTGACATATCTTGCCCTACTCAGCATCCTCCAGTCCTGGAATTAGCCAACTCTGTGTGTAATGTCTGAGAATCAAGCTTTTACAAGGATGCTGAACACACCATCAGGTTGATGGACTTGAGCTGTACTCCTCTACTGACACCCCCCTAAATGTGTCAGGAGAACACTGGGGTGGTGCACGTTCCCCAGCTGCCTGTGCTGCCAGTCATGCACTTGTGTCTAAACTTGAAATGTAGCAACTCAACCACACTGTGGCAAATGAAAGTACTTCTGGAGCGCGTAAGTCAAGAAAAATTCCTTGTGACTTCCCCCTTGGCAGTGAACTGCTTGGCAAACAACACACAGTAGAAAGACCACTTTGTAATGGGCAGTAATTGCGATATTTCCAGGTACCGTTTTGTGGTGACACAAAGTGAGACCAAGTGTAGTGTCTTCTGCACTCAAGGAAGCAGGAAAGCAAAAGGGTAGCATCATTTTCCCAACTCAGCAGGCAACTGTTGCAGTGCAAAGCACAGTTGTTCTACCTTGATTAGAAAGAAGCTTCTAGAAAATGAAATGTGATTGGGCATATATTATTTTCAAAGTGGAAGAGAGGAAAGCTTACTTTTTCTGACTTGGGATTTTTTTTTGTGTGTGAAAGATTATGGGGAAAAACTTTCCAAAGGGGGTGAGAACACCTCAGTTTATCTCCTGTAGATAGTCCATCTGGACAGGGTGTTTTTATATAATTTTTTATTATGTACTTCTAATGTAATTCCAACTGCCATAGCATATATAAGGACCTGTGATATTTCATACACAGTTGTGTGACATCCAGTGTGACTGTACAACTCCAATGCTCTTTCAGTGACACTTCATTTTTACACGAACATGTGATGGATTTCTTAAAAGTTGTTCTTAAAAGTGTAAGAGAGACTTACTCGTGTGAAGATCCTTCAGTGATGCTTAAAATGATGAGCTATTTGTTATGGAGGGTGAAACTAGCATCATGATACATAAGAAGGTTCTTGGTACTTGAATATAATTGGATTGGGGTTTGTATGCAAGAGGATATGCTTCAAGTTTCCCAGATGATGTTTTAAGTTAGTTCTCAGCACTTAAGAATAGCTGTTTAAGCTAAGTAAACAGTAACATGTTCTCTAACCCTGTAGGTTAGAACCAAAAGTATAGGCAAAGGAAAATTTACTAAATTGGGGCAGTTTTCAGGCCCCCCCAGTTTCTCAGTATTTGTCTAAGAATGAGTACACCTAAGTTGCACTTCAATACCTTCTAATACACACTTCTGAGAACAGTATTGGAGCCAAAAATGAAAGCAAGAGAAGGAATTTGAAGAAATAATTGCCACTATAACTATCAGACCAAAACAGAAGAATTTTCAGTTGCATTGGTGCTGGTGAGGTCACTGTATTTTTTCCTAAGTTTTGATAGTGGGAATTAATAGCTGTGGTATACAGGCACAGATGCTTAAGGCTGGAAGGAAGGCTTTTGGTTTTGTCATGGAAATACCTATTCTGTGTGGGTTTTCTGATTCGTGCAAGTAAACATACTCAACTGTTAACACGTAAATCTCGTGAAGTGTGAGGAATGTTAAAGCATGTCATTGGTGATGTAACTTTAAAAGTCTTTTTTCTTTATTTTCTTTCTCTAGAGCGCAGTGAAGATAAATCAGATCAGCCTGGATGAAAGTGGAGAACATATGGGTGTTTGCTCAGAAGATGGCAAGGTACAACAAATCCGTTTATATATTTACTGAGGTAGCAGATAGTCCTCAGTATTACATTTGAGATAATTGTGATACCTGTGGATTTAATTCCTGCATTTAGCACCTCTACTTTGACCATACATTTTGAGAACTGAGCTCACCTTTGAATACTCAAAGTTAAAGTCAAGTGTATTTTGCACAAATGTGCCGTAGAAAAAGTAATTACAAGAATGTCAATAATGTAACTGGTATTAAGCTGATTAACAGCTGTGGCAGGAGGACATGTCACCTTAATCATTACTGCTGTGCCAGTTATACTTCAGTGACTACTCTGCTGTTCCTGCAAGACAGTAGTTTAATGCCTTTCTGCTATAAATCCACAAAATTGGATTTTGTGGGCATGATTTCTGTGGGCTGGTGGTTTTCATTTTCACACATTTTATGAATGTTTCTCTTGAATTATAGAATCTTTTGATAAGCAATCATAGTTTATCAGAAGAATAAAGTGTCTTACAACAGCCACATTAAATAAATGTAAAATCAATATATGTACAGTTTCCTAAAAAACTGGCACCTACTTCCTTGGCTGAGGGCATATATCATTTGTGCAGTGTATAACTAACAATTATCAGTGCTTCTCTGGAATGTTGAGCTGTGACATTTAGTGGTTTTGGTGATTGATTTTCCACTTATAAGAATGTCTTTTTTGTTTTTTCAGTTGATGGCAGTCTTTTCTAATGTTGGTTTGCACTGATAAAATTCTAATGCACAGGGTGTATTTAAGCTTCTTTTTTTAATATAGTGCTCATATACAAATACAGTGCATTAAAAATCATTTAAATAATTTTACAATATCCATCTGACTTACAGAGGAGAACATTTCTTACACAGTAGACTTGCAAGAGCAGGAATTTGGTAATCCTAATGGTTGCATCCCACTGAGTAGAAGTTCTTTAAATTAAAAATAAAATCAGATTTTGCAGTAGGCAAAATGGGGAAACAAGCCCTTTAGACTGTATGCATTTGGGTTTTTTCATTGCAAATATGTAGTTATTTTCCTCAACAGGCAGGCAGCCAGTTTGTATATCCAAGCCTTTTGTTTCTGAGAGAAATCTTGGTGTCGGTATCTTGACACAGTAATTGGGATACTAGTGCCTATCAGAGTGGGTTGTAGAATTTTACAGCCTGTGAGAAACAGCACAAGTGTTTCCTAATTGTCTACACAAGATAAGGCAAGGGTCAGTAATTGTGGAAGGTAATAAAAATGTTGAGCTAGCATTGTTGGTTTAGGTGTTTCCTGTGGTATTGGGAAGCAAGCACTTGCTGTTGATGTAAGGGCTCCTCTGATGTGACTGTGGATTACTGACTCAAAATACCTATGCTGCAGTGAGACTATGAGCCATGCACATTTTTCACATATTAAGTGAATATTAAATACATGTATTTGATTTGAGAAATATTAAAATATCCATAATCTCTACTTTGGTGTGGCTGTATTTGAAAAGACTTCAATACCTTAAATGGTGACTGTGCTAGTTTAAAGGTAAACCAGCAGGGGAAATGAACTCAACTCAAAGGAGAGATTACAAGTCAGAATCACAATTTAACAAAATAATACAAAAAATACGATTATAGAGACAAACAGTTGCTTTTAACCCACAAAACCCAAATGTATAACCCAGCACCCTGGGGCATGAACAGAGTGGTGTTCGTTGGGCCCCCTGAGTCCAAATAAAAGGAGAGGGGAAAAAACCTGTTGGTGAAAGTGCTGGTACAGTCTGGTCAAGAGTGGTGATTGCAGTCTGGTTGAAAAGTGGTGGTTGCAGTCCAGTAGAGAGTGGTGTCTGCAGTCTGGTTGAGAGTGGTGGTCTGTAGTCTTCCTCTGGATCCCACGAGTGGTTAAAAAAGTTCCAAGACTCCAAGATTATATATCCTCCAGTTCAGGCAGGAATGCCCAGCACTTCCCTCAGGGCAGGGAGTTCCACAAGGGGTGTGAGGACAAGAGCATCCTCCTTTCTCACAGGCCTCTTAGCACCTAGTTTATAGCCTGAAGAGTCAGGCTGCTCTGGGCAGGTGGTGTAAATGGTCTATTGATAACAGTTTCTGGGAAATGGCATGGAAGGCTATAGAATACACAGTTTTGGGTTACACCCACACAGTGATGAACTGGTCCCAGCTGTTCTAACTAGGACAGTGACTCTGTCTTCATTTAGTGAAATAGCTATTGTGCATATATGTGTGTCATTACGTGCTATACGAGGCAGTCTCAAATATGGTCCTGATGCCAGGGCTAATTCTGGTGATGTTTTTGATACAGGGCTGGAGTATCACAAGTACAATATGCAACATATTTGTATTCATAGAGTCCAGAGACATTGATGCTTCACCGTATTCTACACCGAAAAACTCATCTGGAGATTTGAAAGATCTGGGTGATTTAGAAGTTAGACTTTCCACGTCACAAACCTTTCCCAGAAAGGATTATGTCTTTGAAAGAATCCACCTCTAAAATTGGTTTAAATGCATACTTGTGTGTTGTGATACTCTGTAAGAAAATGGCAGATTACTGGACGGATAGTGTAACACTCCTTACTACGGTGGGAGTGTTGATAATGTAAGAAGTTAAAACACCTGTACAAATTGCAAAGTCTTTATTAACTTGGTGAAATAAGTAAAAATGGTGAAATCCTTTTTTTTTAAAAAAGGGGGAAAAAGAAAACGTGAAACAGTTTGGTTTTCTTTAATCAGTTTTAAGCAAAAAAAGGGCAATAATACAAAGCTGTATTGATGCAAGTGTTTTCTACCACTTAATGAAGATATGTCCTCTTTTGCAATAGGCAGAGTGCATATCCAGTCTGATAGAGATGGAAACCATTTGTCTTTTTGAGGGAAGGCCTTAGGATGAGAATCTCCTCCTCATATCTGTTCTGCTGTCTGATATATTTTATTTTACTACTTTTTCCGGGTTTTTTGGACTCTCAAACTAGATTTGATCTAGTTGTGTTGGCTGGGAGGAGAGCACAGAAGCATTGTACAATTCTCTAACTCTCTTGTCAGTCAGCATCCAGACCTAATGTGAAAACCTGGCACTTGTATGTCATATATGTCCAACAAGTGCTTGGGAGCTACTTGCAGCTTTTCTGTACTGCACATTTGGTTCTTTGAAAAATCTTCCTGTCCAATGGACTCAACTGCAGCTGGTCACCACTGGCATGGAAAGGAAGAGAAATCAAAACCAACACCAGCCCTCTAGTCTCGCTGCTGGGTGTCGAACTGTTACAGTATAAGAGAATTTTGGTGCTTGAATAAATAGAAGGGGAATCAGGCTTGCAGCTTCAGAACTGTGGAGATCTTTTAGGTTAGTTTTTGTGTGTTAGTTTTGTATGTAGTTAGTTTATGTTGTCTTGAAAAACCTGGATCTGACTCCCAGTTTTGCTAAAGGTCTCGTGTCATTACATAAGAGCAGTGTAATTTTCACCCTTACTCTGGCTTGTAACTTTTTTTACATGAAGAAATATAAATTCTATTGAAAACCCATTGTTTGCATGTGTTAGTGTCATCTTTAATGCGTGTAACAACATTGATGTTAAGAAAATCCATGAAGTATTACACTGATCATTTTTCAAGAAATGAGACTTGTAGATAAAATGTTTTTGTTTGCCTGCCTTTTGATCACTGAAGGTTGGTTGCTTCTTCCAAGTGTGGAAGCAAAGAAACAGCTAAGTCTGGATGCACTGGAATGGTGGGTTGTGGATATTTAAAATTGGACAGGAGTAGCAAAATGTAGTGGAATCACAAAATCCTTTTTCCAGCTACCTAAGAGCATCATGAGCAGAGTGAGCATGGAAAGTAGAAATAGATAAATCCAATATAGGTTTGTAATATCAAAAGAATCACTTTCTTTCCGAAGAATATAGAACATTAAGAAGTAATAAACTGTTATATGATGTCCCTAGAGTAAACATAACATCTATTTTATGCTGAGTTATTTTTTCCTTTTAAGTCGCTCCACTTTGTTTTCATACTCTTAAAGAAACATCATATGTCTGTGTTCAGTGAAGTATTAGGAAAATGTTGAGGGCATTGTTGCTAATTCTGCTTAATTAGTTTTAATTTCAGAGGGCTGTTTTGTTATGTTTGAGGATTCTGCTTCCACAGAATTTGCATTGTTATGTTTTAATCATGTATTTTCTTTTTTTTTTCTTTCTTCTCTCAGTTTTATTTTCTCTTTCCTCTCCTTCTTATTTTGTGTAGGCTGTTGGATTGGATATGCTGTGCCAACTGATGAAAACAAAAACCGAGAAAGCAAAATCCTCTAGACATCGGCCCAAAGCTTTTCTAGGCTTATAGCCAGGCCCAACTTAAATATAACCCTTTGGCTGGCTTACATAATCACAGCTTTGTGATACATCTTACAGTCTCCAAATATTGATTTTTGTAATCCTTTGGATCAGTAGCGCAGCCCTACACAGTGCATGCAGAAGTATTTTTAAAGCACGTTGTCAGAGGCAGTATATTCGCTAATGAGTAGTGGACTGAGCTGATAATGCTGCTTAGGAGATGTATCCAGGAGACAAACTTGAAAGGGAGATGAGATGGTTTGAGATGTTTTAAACTTCACTGAGGCTGCTGAACTTTGAGCCACTCCGAGGATGGCTTAGTTCCTTGCTGATAGCTTAGTTCCTCTTGTAGTTTACCTAAAGTTTAATGTTTTTGCTCTGTCTCCTTGACTATCTGAACGAATTTTGGGGGTTCTTGTCCTCAGAACTGATCTTTTTAAAGCCATTAAGCCTCACTTTTTGAGGCCCATTACTGGCATTTACTGACTTTGTTCTGCAGGTCTTTATCTAGGGGGACTTATATTTTTTATTACTTTTTTTTTTTTAATTTTTCTGCCTGAAGCAATCATGGTAGAGATGGGGAGAAAGAAATAGGGTTAAAAGTTCTTTTAAAACTTTTGAGTCCAATCTATTGAACATGTAGAGCAGAGTTACTGAAGGTATTACCTTTTCCAGAAAAGAAGGATATTTTCCAGAAAATAATGAGAGCCTGTCTGAAAGCCTTCTAAAGTAAATTTGCTGTCAGATGCAGTTTTCCTGCTGATCGCTCCATGGGATGCTCTTTTTTCTCTCTTCTTCCACCATTGGTGTCCATCCCTCCTGAGATGATTTTGTTTCAGCAGCTTGTGACAACATGTAGAAACCTCTTAAAATCATAATGGAAAAGCAAACCAGTTATTATTCTTTGTGGAAATCATAACTAGTAAATTAATTACTGATTCCTGGCCATAAGTCTTCAGCCCTGTTTTACTCCTAAGTTCTGCAGGAACGGGGTTGTCAACTGTCCCATCTGAGAGTTGGGGAAGGGAACGTTGCCTATTGAATGAAGAGGCATGAGTCCGAAAGAGGGTTGTACTTAAAAAAATCTTGAGAAACCCTATTCTGTAGTCATAGCATCTAAATCTAATAGTATTTCATAACACTTGATACCTCTGTACTTGTTTTATAACTAAAGGCAAGAAAACATTTAAAAAATCTGTTAATTCTCTTGGCAGCAGAAACAATTTTTTTTTTATTTAATGTTGAGGCTTCTTCAGATGGATTCATTCTGATAGATATTCTGATTGCCTATGGTTACAACTTCAGTGCTGACTGTTAAATGTACTGATACATCAACATAAAAGAGAAGGAAGGAGTCTTCAGAGAAAGGCATTACCACTGGTCATGGAATAAAACAAAATAGCACTGAATGCACTTGGGAGGAGGAGAGGATGCCAAGAAATATATTGTCCTTGGATTTCAGTCTGGTTTTTCTTTATTGTCACAAATTTCTTTTCTTATGTAAACCTTGTATTGCTTGGAGGGGAAAAAAAAACCTTACCGTTCTTTCTCAGAAAGGAAGAATTTTTAATTTATCTTCTTCTGAATGTTTTTATGTTGCTCTTACTGTACTTAGGTTAGTATCTGTTAAACAGATTTGATCAGCCTAAAGCAAAAGGAACTTGCAGTTTTTACTGTATTTGTAAAAAAACCAAAACAGAAAAATCCCAAAACCAAAACACACACACAAAACAAATACAAAACCCCTCACAATAAAAACAAACAAAAACCAAAACAAAATCAAAAAAAAAAACAAGGAGGAAAAAGATTCAAAAAGTACTTTTGTACTGCTGCAAATATTTAGAGAGATACACAGTAGAAGATCAAGCTGTGTCAATTATCTCTGAATTGTTAATTTTTACTTCTTTTCCATAGGAAAAAAGATGTAACTGCTAGCATTCAACTTTACCTTCTAGCTATTAGTTTTTTACATTCAATGTTAATTGTCAAATGGTTATTAGGTAAACATTTTTGGCTTTTCAATGTATTTTTTCAGGTGCAAGTGTTTGGATTGTATTCAGCAGAAGAGTTTCATGAAACATTTGACTGTCCTATTAAAGTAAGTGCTTGTTTTAATCTTTAGTAATTGTGGTGATGTTGTCTTTTAATGACAGAAAGGTCGCATTCAGTCCAAATGAGAGAGAGGAATACCACTTCCTTGCAATGTTATTCAAGTCACTAGAAAATAGTTTTCTATCTCAATATAAAAGCTTTTGATCTGGTTAGGTAGTAAGAAAGCCCATCTTGGTTTTGTAAGGAGTATTATTGAATTTTTCAAATACAAAAGGCAAAGTGAAATTGTCCTATCTCAGCATAATTCTTTCTTTGTAGATTTGTGATACAGATTCTGAGGGTTCTGCTAAATGTGAGGGCAATATTTTGCAACCAGGCAAATGGGCAGAGATGCTGATGTACCTTGTCTGAAGAGAAAACTTGAGTTTTACTCTGCTTTAGAGATGTGTGTCTGCCTGGCTGTTGAAAAAGGGATATCTAGTGGTTTTTAGCAAGAAACATTTCTTGCATGAGGAAAGGTGGTGTGGGCAAATGATTGTGTTTTGCTGCTTGGGGTCTCCCATGTTGCAGCTGCTCTTGAGGATGGGGGGAAGGGAACGAGGTCATTAAGTTTTCACACATGCCAGATGTGACTCACTTGCCTCTTACAGCTGGATCTCCTGCACTTGACATGGAACATGTAAGGCAAAGAAACTGTTTAAGACGTGTCGTTAAGACATACACAGTGCTGTCCTGTGACAGGGCTGAGGTGTGTGTGCCCTCTAGGCAGGTCCCAGACAAGATTTAATGGGGGTAACCCTTGCACACAGCAAGGGTTCTGTTTGGTCCTAATTCTGCTGCTTGCTATACAGAAAAGTAGATTCGGTGTAATGTGGTTCTCAGCGTCAGACTTGTCATATACCATATAATTAGAAGAATTCTCTTCTAGGAAAAACAGATGTTGAAACAACTAGGCTTTACTTCAGAGAAAGAATTCACCTGTAATACTTGATGATTGGCAAAGGGTTATCTAGTTTAAAAAGTGATGTGGCGCTTCATGTAAACTCTTATTTAATCCACAATCCTCTCTTTCCCCATCATCCCCAGATTGTTGCTGTTCATCCTCAATTTGTAAGATCCCACTTCAAGCAATTTGTAACAGGAGGAAAAAAGGTAAGCAGTCCTAGTGTAATGAACTTTGGCTACCTTTAAATAGCTTTTTGAAATGGCTCAGAAGGCTATGTATGTGATTTTTAAAACCTAGAGCAAAGACTTCTGCTTTTTCATTTTAATTATGTGTTGTATTCCAAACCATTCTTATTTATTTTTAAAATTTATTTTATTTAATTTTATTTAGTTAATTTTATTTAATTAATTTTATTTAATTAAGACTAATTCCAGGGGAAGGGAAAATGCACTTTTTATGTTAAAAACGTATTGCAACAAGTTGAGCTTGAGAGTAGAAATACTTCTGTATATATAGCCTGAAAAACAAGTCATTTATATTTCCTAGGCCAGATTTTCTCTATTTTAATTTCTTGAAGTGGAAGCAGAAGTTTGTGCCTTAATATTGATCCTTACAAGGCATGTTGATCTTGGTGTTTGGGATTTTTCTTTTGCTTCACCCGTGGGTGATTTTTTGGGGTGGAGTTTTGTTTGTTTTGTTTGGGGATTTAAGGCAAAAAAACCCAAGTATTTTCATCAGTTCTTATTCGTGGTATGGATTTTGTTGTTTGTTTGTTTGTTTTTAAAGGAATCAATGAGAGCTTTTGGTAGAGTAGACCTCACACCATTCTAAGCATTTCTATCTGTGTACATAGTCTTCCATTTGGATCAGCTGGTATTTCAAATGTGTGTTAAGTGTCTTCTTAGTGTATGGTACAATTCTGACTTTCAGATTACAGTTGCTTCCAGGTCCTACAAGTATCTTATATCACATGGCATATTTTCAGTCAAAATATAAAAAGTTCTATTTAGAACAGTTTCTTAATTCATGGAATTTTCTGTTACCTTCTCTTATAAATTGAGTATGAACAAGCCTCACTTACAGGTGCATCAAACCAAATGCCATGGCTCTCCCTTACCAGCAGTCTGTAAGAAATACAGACTCCTAGTGCTGAATACAACTTAATTTTCAATTAACAGTTCACTATGTTTCAGAGCATAATTGTGCTTTATTTATTTAAGTGGCATGTGAGCTTGACAGCTTTTTCTGGCTGGTAGAAGTTGGTGTTGTCCTTAAAATAATGCACAGTCAGTGGATGTCTGTGTCAGCCACCAGTTTGTGAAGCTTTTTTGTGCTGATAAAAGGGTCATGGAAAGAGAGAAGCAAGAAATTAATAGAACAGGGCTCTGTCAGGTGGTAAGAGAGCTTGCATTCACCTGATGCCGAACAGAAAAAAACATCAGGGAGTTAACACATTCTCTTTGGTTATCTTTGATTATTTGACAGGTTGTTTTATATTCTGTCCTCTGGGGAATGGTATACTCATTCTTAATACATTCATTTTTTGCTGAGGAACTTTCCCCTTCAGAAAAACTTTAATTGACATCTTAACATAAGGTATTTAGCATTGAAATAAATGTCCCTTGACACATGGAATTTGATTTTATTGGTTCATAAAACAAACAAATAAAAACTCTAGCCTTGTGGTAGAAACCTTGCCCCTTTTCTCCTCTCCTCCAAAAGGAGCCTTTATAAAATAACAAAATGCTCTTTGAAAATTCAGAAAGTTAAATTCCACCTACTAATATATCTATGATTTATTTCTATTTGCTTTTTCTGAATGTTTACACTTTTCCTTAACTGTAAAGCCAACGAGTAGTAGGGGGGCAACAGGGAGTGTCCGCAAAGGTGAGGCTGAAGCATACAACCTCAGGCTGTGGACCTCACCTCTCTCTCCCTATGTCTGGAGATTGTGCAGTTGGGTGAGCTCCTTCAGGGAGGGGGACAGGACCTCCATGGCTCCTCACATCTCTGCTCTTTTAGCTTTTGCAGAAACACAGTGACTTCATCCCTGATAGCTGGCAGTGGTGAAAGGCATGCTGCCTGTCTTCCCCACACACGCCAAGGCAGGGTTAGCAGTAAGGGTATCCTCATTTTGGATCAAGCTTAAAAGAAAAGCTTTGTTTAAAGTTCTTATGCTATCACAGAATATGCTCAGTTGGACTCATCGAATCCAGCTCTTAGCCCTGTGCAGGACCATCCCAAAGAGTCACACTGTGCGTGAGAGTATTGTCCAAATGCTTCTTGCAAGAACTTCCCTGGAGAACCTGTTCCAATGCCCAACCACCCTGTGGGTGAAGAACCTAAACCTCCCCTGACACAACTTCCGGCTATTCCCTTGGTTCCTGTCACAGGTCACCACAGAAAAGGGATCAGTGTCTGCCCTTCCTCTTCCCCTCATGAGGAAGTTGTAGACTGCAATGAGGTCTCCCCTCAGACTCCTCTTTCTCCAGGCTGAACAGACCAAGTGACCTCAGCTGCTCCTCATACAGCTTCTCCTCAAGGCCCTTCACCATCTTCATTGCCCTCCTTTGGACACTCTCAGACAGCTTAAAATCTTTCCTTTATTGTGGCGCCCAAAACTGCACACAATATTCAAGGTGAGGCTGCACCAGTGCAGAGCAGAGCAGGACAATCCCCTCCCTGGACCAGCTGGTGATGCTTTGCCTGACGGTTGGCTGTCCTGGCTGTCAGGGCACTGCTGACTCATATTCACCTGGCCATTGACCAGGACCTCCAGGTCCCTTTCTGTGGCACTGCTTTCCAGCATCTCATTCCCCAGTCTGTACGAACATCCAGGGTTGCCCCATCCCAGGTGCAGAATCCATCACTTTCCCTTGTTGAACTTCATATGGTTGGTGATTGCCCAGTCCTCTGAGGTACATAAAAAAATATAGTGTGTGTTGTGTGAACTCTTCATCCTAAGGGTTGCAGGGTCTTTATCTTTGTTTTGTTGTTCTGGGAGATGGTGACATAATGTATATTAGCATTTTAAAAGCTGAGTGGGTTTTTTTTAGTTGTTTGCTAAGATAATTTGAGCAGATAAATGTGTACAGAAAGAAATTTCATCAATTTCTCGAACCCCTCTAGTTCTGTTACAATCATTGTTGTCTCAGAATAAAATTAGGATGTTCTTGATTTCCTACTTGAATTTCATACAGATTTTGGCTTACAGTGAAACAAAACAAAGAAGCCAAACCACACATGCACAAGAACTTACCCCCTGACCTTAACACTCTGTTTTGTCTCATCTCAGAAAACCACGTTAAGATGTGTTTAAATTTATTATATTTATTAATTTTATAGCTAGCATCTGCCTCAGTAGAATCTGCAATGATTGGGGGAGAGCTACTGTAAATTACCACCTCCTTAATTTTTTGAGAAATATACCATTCTTTATAATGATATAAAATGTGTGAAAAATACACTTTCCAGTTCAAAGACCCACTGCAGGCCATCCTGAAAATATTCAAGCGAGACAGAGAGGGAAAAAACCTTAAGTGACACGCTTCAGGGATGCACAGTGCAGGTCCTCAGTTCCCAGCACAGGCGGATGTCTAGAACTTGGGTGAATTGGGTGAATTGTTGTATAATACAGAGATTTACCACATCTTAGAAGGTCAGCCTGACCTAAGGCTGACTTAAGAGCGGTACTCTCTAGCGTAACTGTTTAAATCATTGTTGTAAGCTTAACTCTACCATGTTTGTACAGTTGCTTAACTAGGCAGGTACTCAAGCCCTTTAACAGCATTTTTTCTCTAAATTGTATTGTGAACTAATTAAACAATATAAATTGTTTGCTTACTAAAGTTCTAGTTTTTAAAAGTAAAGAACTTCCATTAAGCTTGAGATAATATCATTGCCTTCTGTTTTGGGTTAGAAAAGCTTATTTTGCCCCCTTTTTTAATGAATGAATGTTACTTCTGCCTAGAAATCACTGTCGCAGTGAGAAGCAGTAGGTACCACACTAAAAAGAGGCGCTTCCCTCCTCCCAATCTCTGCAATTAACCACAGCACCATTGTGCTGACTTGGCAGATGATGGTAACCCTGAAATAATAATATCGTGTATTGTAAATAACAGGGCATGTCTGTCCAGAGCAGACAGTACAGCTCCAGAGTAAAGGAAAAGACAAATACTGTACTATTGAAGGCCATAACCTTCTACCTTTTAAAAAAGGGTCTAATCTCAGAAAATAACAGGGTAAAAGCCAAGTAAATGAGGGTGCTAAAGCTGAAAACAAGGTGTTCTTGATTTAACTGTTAGAGTGCTGGTCTTTCCCAATACATCAGCTAAATGAACGTTATTATAAACTCCAGGTATTGATTATGTCCTGAGGGTTAAGAGACAGAACTAAGAAAGAAGACTGAAGAATATTTCAGTTCCAAAGTCAACATAGCAAATTACTGCATCTTATATAAAGGTAACTTAGTCAAGCAGGACAAGTTGAGGTTCCTCTCTTAGCAGAGGCCTCAATGAGACTCCCTATTTCATGTTTTGATTAACATCAATAACTAGACAAATAGATTTTTGTAGTAAAATTCCTAGGAAAGTGAGTCGTCTGGAGTGATTGAGTCACTCTGCTGAATATATACTAATGAAGGGTTTTCTGGGAGTTCTTTACCCAGCATGGTAGTGGGGACACACCACAAATTAAGAAAATTAATTCTGAAGCCATTATGGGGGTAGTATATTCAGTATCTTAAAGGATTGGGTCTCCTCATTTGCCTAGGACATGCATTTTGTATAATAAATATTGATTTGCATATCTAATCTGAAACATTTTAAGGGATAGAGAACCAAGATAAAACTACAGATTTACTCTGTGGCTGTTAGCAATCTCATCTTTAAAGCTGTCTGTATCTATATCTACATAATATATTTATGGGGGTTTTTTTAATATGTATGTATGGTGGAAATATGTGTAAAACCATATTTTTATAGTGTCTGTGTTTCTTTGGCTGAAGAAGATACTCTATAAGAACTGGTTTACAAATACAGATCATGTTTGTCCCCTTTATCCTTCCAGAATTAACATTTGAACATATTGATGTTTGAACTTAAACATTAGACTCTTTTTTCTTTGTTTGTTATAAAAGCAGAGAGAACTTTGTGTTACGTGGGGCAAATTTCTCATTGTAAAAAAAATTAAAAATACTATTTCAATG